TATCTTCAAACTTTTATGAAATTCTATACTCAAGATTTTATGGAGGTAATGAATAATGATTGAGAGATGGTTGACCTGCATGGCAGCATGCAGATGGTGTTTTATGAAGGCACAGAGGCAGGTGCTCATAGCAATTCCTGTGAATATGTGGCACAAGGAAAGAAGCAGAACAAGTTCAGTCCATTTTCATTAATCACTTGAAAGCAGGGCAGAAAACTTTGCTTGTCACCAGTGTCAGGTTCTGCAGAGAAACCCAGTAGGATGAATTTGCAGGAATTTTCCTTGCTCAGAGGTCATCCGTCTGGGCTCCACGGTGTTAGTCGCTTGCCTGGAAACGAAGCCCCTCTAACAAGTGCCCGGGAGTCTGTGAGCTGGCAAGTGGCAATGGAGAACATTTGTACCAGCTTTTCAGTCAATGGTCTTGGAAAAAGAGAAGTTAAGCATTTAACATTCATTTCCAAATCATTGTGTGGCCCTTGCTGGCTTGGTTGCTGCTCCCCTCATTGCTCCTTGTGTGGTTGAGTGGAGTTCCTGGTGTTGGTTGTTTTACTCGTTTTTTTCTGGACATCCTTAAGATTAGCCTGTGTCTTGGTTATCTTCTTTATGAATTCAGGTATTTTCTCAAAGAAAGCAGCTCTATTTTCTAACATTGAAAGAAAGCAACCTGGATTTTTGGAGTTACGGGATAGAAAAGTTTGGTGGGCTGTGACTTTGCTTCTTTATGGAGAAGTCACTTCTCTGCCTTCTTTACTGGCCGTGACATAGGTCTACAGTTGCTTATGGGACTTTGGGGATATTGCAAGGCCTTTTCTGTTGAATTTCTGTGTAATTCCAAACAGTGTGAACTTTTCAAATCACTTGAGAAGTGCCCCAGATGGTGTGACATTCTGCTTCATGGGAAGATTTGAAAGTATTCCCTTTGCATAATTTCTGGTTAACTATTTCATTACATTTGAAATGGGAGCACAGCAAAGCCAAGAACTCTGCTGACATTTTGGCGGTGTTTGTTTAACCTCCTAGTGCACAGGCTACATTTGTTGAACAATATTATTCTTACCTTTGCAAATCATCAGTAATTAATTCCCTTGGAAATATCTACTGCTGTGCACAGACGGCTTGGGAGGCTGCTGACAGATCAGAGTTTTACATCAGGTGCTAACAAATTGATTATTAAATTTCATAACTGATTTATAGAGCAACTTAATTTCCAAATCTCTCTAATACTTTCACTTATTGTATTTTCAGATAGTGCCGAATGGTTGGGTTCTTTTGTTGCTTCTAATGGCAAATTTAGCACGTGAGATCTGAATGACTCAGTGCAGGGGTTCGCAATGCATCCCACACTTGTGCAGTGCACAAGATGGTGAATGTTTCAGCTGAAAAATGTCTACTGCTGAGGATGTCCCTGTTAATTCCACTTGCTTTTTAACTTCCTCTAAATCGGAGCTACACTTGCCAAGAGAGTGAGATATTTCTGCAACCGCTGTATAGCTTGCAGTTAAAGCACCGTGTTCTTGAGGCTCAGTCGTGCTGTGAATGATAAGAAACAGTGACTATGTGCTATGATGGAGCAGCTTATGTTCAGGTCCCAACACGTACTTAAATTGTAATGGTAGAACACATTAGCTCACTTGGTGTGATGTAAGTCACTGACTGAAGACATTTTAAGGAGGCATAGGGGTAAATTTTCAAAACGCTGCAAGGTTTTAACTATGCAGTGTTTCCAGAAATATCAAATAGGAGTCATGGTTGAAGGGAGCAGCTTGCTAATGTCAATGCCAGGAGTAAACTCTACAGAAAAAGCTGCCGACAATTTTTTGTTGGTTCTAGTTGTGCTTTTGAGGTAGAATTATGAACTATTTTAAAGTGAGGGGCATTTTTTTTTCTTTGGGCTCAGGAGGAAGCCTAATGTAGATCACAGCAGTGTTTTTAATGAACTTGTGAAATCAAGGTCGTAGTTCTGTTATCACTTCAAATACTCCTGTCATAAAGCAAAGCTGTAGCGCCAGATGTGTGGTGTGAATTGTCATGTATCTTAAAAATTTTGCTCCTGCATAATGATACGTTCACTGATCCGGAGCTCGGCACCGCTGAGATTAGAATCTGTCATCTGCAGCAAAAATTCGTAACTCGATGACGGCTCTTACATAGGTAATCTCACTCCTTTCCCGGCGTGAAAATGCCCAGGTCACAAAACCCTTCCTGCCCATTTGCAGTGACAGGACCTCGCTGGCAGCCTGGCTGGGAAGGCTGCAGGGGAAGGAGACCCGGACGCGGGGCTGGGGCCGAAGGGGCCGCGTTCCGCCCGGCACCCAGGGTTGCCCTTGAGGTTCCTGCTCTGCTGGGTTTTCCTGGAAATAGCTTTAGACCATTTACAAGCACTAATTCCGATTAAAAATGGTCATTCTAAAAGAGTATCTTTCACTAGGATATCAGTTAAATGTTGCTGATTTTATATTTCTCCACAGATAATTTTTACAGAGCATTGTAAATATTTGTGACTTTACAGTCTCTTGAATTCTAATTACTTTTATGTTTTGGAAAAAAAAAAAAAAAGAGAGGGAGAACAAAGGTGGTGTTTGACAAATACAAATCTCCTGAAAAAGACTGAAGCATGCTTTTTTTCCTGCCTTAAAGTGAGTTAAATGCCCCTACAGTTTAAAGATGGCCCTATTTGCATCTGAGTGCCTTATTCCATGCAGCATAATTTATTTAAAAAGTACCATATTTGCTTTAGGAGGGAATAGTGGTAGTACTTTTTTGTGTGTTATGGATGTGCTGATGTGCCCCACTCCTCAAACAGGAGGCTCTTATACCAGCAACTGCATCTGTGTAGAAGAATCCTGTGCCTTTTCCCAGCATATTTACAAATCTGTAAATTAATTCAGCTTTTCAGAAACTTTCAGAATTTGCACACATGGATCCTGAGCCTTTATGAAGCTTTGTCTTCCTCCTGACAGGTGCACCCTGAATAGGCAACATGAACTGAGATTAGAAATGAATACTGGCAAAACAATATTTGACAGAATGCTGGCAAACATATTTTGATAAAACGTGCCAGAAGTGCTCTGATACCTCTTTAAGAATACAATCTCGAGTCTCGTAGTTGAGCCTGACTGAATTTTATTCTTTTCATTCAAGTGCTCTTTGCCGAGTGGAGTCACAAAGATGAAAAAAGCAGTGACTTTGTGCAAGTCAGTTGGAATAGAGACAGTGACCCTTGCCTTTAAAAGGGCATTCCCCTTTATCTTCAGTGTCTTTTCCCAGGTATAGAATGTATGAGTACATATTATGAGTCTAAGTTTCAGTGACCTAAAAGAAAATCAGAAATTCAGCTCATCAAAATGAGCTTCTCAAAGTACACAAATGCTTCATATTGCTTCTGAGGCTTTTTATTATCTTTTTTTTTTTTTTTCTGGATTGACACTGATGGAGATGCTACGTTGTTAACTTCCTGTTAAACAACACTGTATTGGTAACTTCTGCATGGGCTACAAATTGAAATTTATTTTAGTGAGGAAATGCAGCCTACTGTTTAGATCAGTGATCATGTAACTCTCAGTATTTAACTGATGTGCATTTGAAAATGAGGCTATCAAAATCTGGGTTTTTTAAACATACCTGAAGAAATCTAATTCACAGAGAATTGTTTGACAACCTGAGGCTTAATTTTTCACATTCTTTTCCAGAATTGCTTTTGTAGTTGCTCAGAGTTGAGACAACTGTGCTTTTTAACCATGTATGAAAATGATCCTGACTGTCTCTTGTTTTGTTTTTGGTGGTTGGACTTTGAAGAGTTAATTGCATAGAAGAGAAGGCAAGTGGTTCTTTTTTCTTCACATTAGAGTTTGTTGGGTTTGTTAGGAGTCCCTAGAACTGGATAAGGAGACACGACTGGTTTTGTTTTTGTCATGAGATTTGACCAATTTTGGTAAAGACATAATAGTCTGGAACAAGCAAAATAAATAAATGTGACAGACTTTATTATTGTGGGATTAGGACATCCCAGATATTGGTGCATGGTTTGTGCAGGGTTGAAAAATGCCTGTTTGACGGTCATTACTTTGTGTGATTCATCTGATGTCTGAAGACCTGAGTCTTTGCTTGATTCCGTAAGTATTCAATAAAGATAAGGAAAAACAGCAATGCTGTTTGTCCTTGACCTTGGCAGGCAATTGAGAAGGCTGCAAGGTGTTTAGCATCCTGGCGGTGGAGCTGCCAAAGAAGTTTTCTGGACCTTGGTTTGATTTTGAGATGTCTGTGGGAGGGTCTCTTCCAGTATAGTTAGAATGGTAGAATCTTACCTTTTACAAAGCACGTTAAGAACACTTCAATTTGAGATTTCTTAATCATGTGATCTCTGTAGGAACAGTGTTAGGTGACTTCAGTGGAGGACTCTGATTCATAGATTTCATATGTATAACAGCACTGGGGATTTAGAAGAAGAATGTTTTTATTTTCCAGCCCAGTCTTTTTAAACTTCTTGTATTTAATGGAATACTTTGCAAACCTCAAAGGCATAAAATGTATGAGCATTGTTGCATTCTGGGTTTTTTCCTTAATTCCATTTCCTGTTGTTCACTGAGAAGATATCAGAAGCAAAGTTGCTTTGCTCTACTCTCTTGGACCAAATTTTGCCTTTCTTCTACAGTTGCAATGGTTTAACAACATCTGGATGAATGGACAGGGATTGGGGAATACCTGTGACTCGTATATATTTAAGAATCTGACCCACCCATGCATGTCAACTCTCCATTCAGTGACTGCTCTTGTTCTCATGGTGTGAACTTAGCACACTTCTCTAGTGCTTGGTTTTAGAGATGTGAAGTGTTGCAATTCTAGTTGCTGTTTTTGGAGGAAGTGGAAAAGCTGTGTGGCCTTCCCCAGGTGGGCATCTTGAGATGATATGTTGACCCAATTCACACAAAAATATAATTAATGTATTCCATTGAGCTTTTCTCCTTGCTTTAATTTTGTTCTTTAATACTTTGATTATTCAGGCCTCTTCACATATTGATCTGCAATGCTGCCATTTTTGGTGCTCCATGGTGCTTGACGGAAGATGACCTGGAGTCCACCTTTCAGGTGAATCACCTGGGGCATTTTTATCTTGTTCAGCTCCTTGAAGATGTTCTACGCCGTTCATCTCCCGCAAGAGTAGTTGTGGTATCCTCAGAATCACACAGGTTGGTTACTGTTACGGTGGTCTTTTGATTTATCTGAAATTTGCAATCTTTGCAGCTGAAAACTAATGGCAGTGCTGGAAATACAGAACCTTCAAAAATGAAAGGTCCTACTCTAAAGCATTTTTGTTTGACTAATCTATTTGAAAATAGAAGGTTCACTAATTCTGTGGATGTTCCTTTATCTGGCTGTATTGCTGTGTCAAGTGTGCTCTAGTTTTATAATATTATGTAGGAATTTTTTGATCATTCTTTGTATGAATGCAGATTTTCACTTCATTTCAGACCCCTCATTGATTTTGTGAGAAGATGGAATAATAATTGATTAAATCTGAATGACATGACCTATATTGATTTGTCATTCAACAACTTCAACGTCTTACCAAGAGGCATGTGCAGTTATTTTAGCAGGAGAAACAATGCAATTAAAAAGTTTGATGAAATCCAATTGTTGTATAATGAGAAATTAGGGAATTCAATGCAGACATTGGCTGTATAATTGTAAAATGGGAAATACTGTTGTTAATAACCTGTTAGACGTCTGACCATCCCTCTTTTGGTTAAAATTTCCATTAAGGTGATATATGCCCATCTTTTTTATTACAATTAGGAGTTGCCGGAAAAGGCAGCATGAGGTTTTCCCTTATTTCATACATGCTTGTGATGTTTAGAGCTGTATTAATATCTGAAAAGAACTTTATTTAAATACTAAAGCTGATTATTTAAAATGAGTGGTCCTGATTCTGAATCTTAACGTGTAAGAAGCATTTACTGGCTTCTGATTCAGTTCAGGGATTGCTGGACTATAGCCGTAATTTCCACCTTCAAACATTACTGTTGATTTCTATTTCACTTTTGATTGTGTGCAAGAGCTATAGCAAACCAAAAGGAAAAATGTGTGAGTGCTCCTTCCCCTTCAATATTTCTGAAATGTTTTAGTGACCTAGAATGAAGATTATTTTTTTTAATCATGTTTCCATAAAATGTAACCCCTGGGACTTGGTAGAGAGAGACCAGCCAAGGGTCAGGCTGAAACCTTTATCACTTCCAAACACAGGGGCTTATGGTATAAATGACACACTGCAGATAGATTTACTTTTACCATTTTAAATTTATGATGGCTGAAATGAAAGGAAGCAATAGAAAATGGCAGTAATAATCCTCCCCGGTGTTAAAAGACATGAAATGTCTAGTAATTAGGTGGTAACAAAATCTGGACACCCTTATCTTTGCAAATCACACCAGGTTTGTGAAAGCAAGTAGCAGAGTCCTGTTAGGAGTGAGGGAGGCTACTGCGGGGCAGGCGAGATAGCTCCAGAAATAAATCTGCCAGCTCCAATCACTTGCCAGATGTGGAGGGCACAATGGGATACGTATAAATGAGCTGTTATTTAATGGGAGATTATGTTGAATTGTCAGCTGCTTGTTCCCCTTTGTAAGCTTCTATCTTAGATAGTACTTTAAATGACATCTTTGTTTTTCACTGTATAAGGGCTATGTATAACTAGAGCTCATATCTCTCTGCATGTCTTTATCTTGTTTTCAAAAACATTTTTTAAAATGCTCATTGCTCACACAGTAAGATCACTCGAGGTTTCATCAAAAAATAAGTAGCAATCTCTAAATAGAATCATGGCTGCCAGTAGCTGATTTTCTTTTTTTGAGGTGTCCAATTCATATAAAAACCTTGATATGTTAACATTTTAAATGACCACTGTAAAGGACTGTCGTCGTTGTTGTTGTTTCCCATCTCTTTAATAGCAAGAAACTGCTGTAAGGAGTTAGTTTAGACATTAGGTATTATTGTGGAGTAGTACTTTTTGACCTGCTTGAGAGCTCTGAGCCTTAAACTATGTTGTAAAACAGAAGTGTTGGTATCTAATTACTTCCATAAACCTTGGCTGGATCTTTTTGTTGGAGTCAAGACCCCCTGTTAGGGGAAAAATAAAGGTGCTCTGTTTTGCTGAAAATATTATACTAGATTGCTGCAAGGCAAAATATTTATTTGCCTCGCTGGTTCTCCCTTCTTGTTTAGTTACTTCTCTGGCTTTTGTGCAAATGAATTCTTTTTAAATTAACCTTTTAAGTAATTTAAGCACATCATATTAAAATCAGAATAATCAGTAGGTTGACTTTCCTCCCGTCTTTATTTCTGTGCAGTTAATTTGATTGTACAGCCCTTATCCCACTGAATTCAATGAGATTGCCTACCTCAGGAAGATTGCCTCACAGAAGCACACTTGGAGGACTGGGCTCAAAATATGCCCCTGTGTTTCCATTGTACAGTACACGCAAAGTAGTTCATTTATAGAGTGTTGTTGGGTGTTCTGAAAGGTTGTGTGGGATATGAATACATAAAATTCCTCCCAGAATAGGCCTCTTAATTTCAGAAATGTATTTTATCTAACTGAAAATTATGAAAGAGGAATTTGTTGTTGAAATTGAAGTGCTAATTCTGCAAGATACAGGGCATCCTGGATTCCTCTTGAGTTCAAATACTGTAGTCGCTCTTCTCTGTGTATTATAATTCAGCTCACTGAATGAATGTGGAAATTCCAGCTGATCTCTTCATTTCTGGGCATGAAATACAAAATTAGTAAAGATATTTTAAAACACTTTCTAGTGTGTACTATAATTATGTTTATCCCTGTGCTCTCCAGCTGATTCTGAAAACTGAGTATTAAAAAGAGCTTGCTAAATCCTTTTTATATTTAGTAGCACTTCTGTAGTAGCACTTCTGAGTGGAACATAGATCTGTAAAAAAAAAAAAAAAAAAAAAAAGTAGTATTATTTCCTAATACTAAGATATGTGAATAATTAGATTAATCAAATTTGTAAGAATTGGAAAACTTGCTATCTGGAAAATTCCTTTTCTTCATATAAATGCCATCAGAATATTCCTTACTTTGTTATTAAAAAAAGGAGGGGTGGGGAGAAACAAACAGCTGGTGTTTAATGACTCTGTCAGACCCAATTAAAAAACATCAACTAGTTACTTTGATTTGTGTTCAGCCATGCCATGGGTATACTTAAAAACATTATACTCTGCCAGAACTCATTTTGGCTTTGTTTACATTTATCTTTTAAACATATAAGGCTATTGATGGCAAGTTACCAAGGTTATAACCCCTTTATATTCATCAATTTTTAATCTAAAAAAGAGTCTAAGAGGCAGTGAGATTCGTCCATAGTTACTTGAACACTTAAATGAAAGTGTACAGTACATGAACACTAGAAGATATAATTGGGGGAAGGGAAGAAGGACAAATAAAGGAAAGAATTCTGCCTTTCTGTGCCTGTAATGCAGTTATTTTACCTCACATTATTTACTCTCAGATAATTGTGCTTTTGAGGATCTGTGGCAAAATATTTTTTTCTGGTTTTAAGTGAATGTGATTCATAAATGCAGCATGATGTATTTGTTAAGACCTTTTGTGTCTCCTTTTGGGTAGCATTTATTTCTGCTGGGACTTTGTTCTCAAATGATTTCCAGTAGATACCAATAACCACAAAATTAGCACAAAATTAGTTGTTTTTTGATGGTTATGGCGAAACTCTATTATCTAATTTTATATTTTCTAAACAAAAGCAAAATTAACTGGGGAGTACCTGAGGCATTTTTCTTGTTTTCTAGATTTACAGAAATTAAAGACAACACCGGGAAACTTGATTTCAGCCTCCTTTCTCCATCGAAGAAGGAGTATTGGGCTATGCTGGCCTACAATCGTTCCAAGCTTTGCAATATATTGTTCTCCAACGAGCTCAACCGCCGCCTTGCTCCCCACGGGGTGACGTCTAACGCCGTCCATCCTGGAAATATGATGTACTCCTCGCTCCATCGGAGCTGGTGGGTGTACACCCTGCTGTTTACCTTGGCTCGACCTTTCACCAAGTCCATGGTGAGTGAATGATTTGCAGTGTTTTACACATCTTTAGTTCTCAAGTCAAGGGAGTGAAGTTATAAAAATCCAGATGTATGTATTTGCTTTAGCCTTTTGCCTTTTATAATCGTAACCTTACTTTAATAGCAAACGTGGTGCCAAGACAGCAATCTAGAAAAGGATGCTTAAACAATTTTACATCAATTTTGTCAATCTTCAGTAAAAGCACCATGTCAGATGGAGTATGCAGCTTCCTCAGAATGTATGATTTTGGCCTGCTGTGGTTAAGTGTTGGCATAGTTTAGAGTTTTAGTGTTACCTATGAAATTGTTACCTATTTCCTAAATAGGTCTTTTTCTAATGAAGCAAGGCAATGAGTTTTTCCCTTGTCTCCCTTAGACTTTGGATTGGCACCATGATGCAAAGACAGGCTCTGCAGTTCTTTCAGGGGCAGTATTAGGAGGCCTCATTATATAGGAATTTGCAGCAGCTCCAGTGCTTGGAGGGAGTTACTCTTATTGCTTCAACCTCTCATCCAGGTTATTTATATGGAATCCTATGTCATTTGCAGGGTGTAGGATGACTACTTATTCATGGAGAACAGGTTTTCTTTTAACCTTATTGACTGTTCTCTATTTCTTATTCATTGACAGAGAACGGTATTCTCAAAGGACATGGTGAGGGGGAGACTCCCTTGAATGCAAGGAAAGGCAACTGGAAAGACCAGTACCCCTGCAAGAGTCATCTAGCGCAGTGGCAATGTGTTCAGGCCCAAAACAGGCCCCTTTCACAAGGGGTTTGGTGACTGGTGTGAATGGTCTTACATACCTTGTTGGTCTCCCTTAGCCAATGATAGAGTCAAAATTAATTGTGTTCACTTGAGAAAAAAAGAGCAAGGAGTTGTTGAGAGAGAGAGGATCCATTCTTAAATAATTATATCTACAGCATAACCTCTAACAGTCAACAAATCAGTGTGGTGCAAAAAATAAAAGGATTGCTCAGCATAACCTGTAACAGCAGGTCAGCGTGGTGCAAAAAATAAAAGGATTGCTTGTAGTTGAAATCCATTTCTTACTGGGATAATGAAAGTCATAATTTCCATGGGGTACATATAAATAGAAAAAGCATCTTATCATGTCCAAAACTGAAGAGCTTTCTTGAATAATCCCAAATCTTCAGTATCACACATGAAGTAAAAGTACAAACACTTCCTAGCACAGGTGCATGCAGAAACCCTGTGTCCATGAGATTGATGTGAATGAATTCTCACCTTGAAACTAGGAATAAAATCTTTCTACATGGTCTTTGACCAGTACTTTTAAAATTGTGTCTCTGCTCTGTCAGGGAGGGTGTCGAAAGGAACCAGCCTATGGAGTTTTTACAAATTGGCTTAGTTTTACTTACTCTGCCTTCACAAAGGAATCCCTTGTGTTGGTTGCTCAGGTAAAGTCACAGTTTAAGAAAAAAATAAACCAGTGGAGTTCATTTTGAATTCTTTAAATTGAGTGGTGGATTCTGTTGATAGTATTGATTTCTTTAATTTGTGTTGTGTAATACAGACTGTGAATATATCAGCATTGAATCACAGTGCAGCCTTGTCCACATTAATTGCTTCAAGAAGTTCTTTTATTTATTTCACTTGAATGTTGCCGTGGTGGGTGAGATGGTACCGTGGTGAGAGGAAACATGAGGCTTGCAGCTCCTGCTCGGATCCAAATTGCCGTGTTCCTCTGTAGCCTCGTATGGCCTCTGCTGCCAATAAACTTTAGGACAAAAAGTGATTCTTGAAGGATGTGTAGTCAAGCTAAGCCACAATTCTTAATGTGGTCAGTGCCGGAGTTTTTCTATAGTAAGATTAGTAGGGAACAAATAAAGTTTTGGGTCCCCCTTGGTGGGGATTGTACGGTCACTAACCTGGACTGCACTTTGTAGAGGATCTCTGAATAGGCTTCTGCTTGCTTCTCTCCCCAGAGCTCACCTGGGTGTTTAGGTCAGGATGCAGCGTGCTCGTCTCGGAGCCCAAAGCTGCTGTGTGGAGGCTGTGGCCTGTGCGCGCGTCCTGCCAGATGCCCGCGCTGCCCAGTGCAGCACGAGGCGGCAGCGCGGCCGGCCTGCACGGAGCGGGGCCCGACACCGGCGGGGAGCTGCCCGTGCCAAGGCTGTGTTACTAGACATCCGTGACAAGGATGTTACTAGAGTTCAGGCCAGGTGACGAGGTGCCAGGCAGCTCTGCCCGTGCTCTGCCCACCGCAGCGCGGGCCGCGCGGAGAGACGGGCCCTGCCGGAGCCGGCGCGGCCTCCTGCCTGCGCACGTGAACGCGGATACAGACATGCACGCAGAGGGACTGCGCCTGCAAGTACGTAACTACCTCCGTGTAGTAAAAGCTGTTAATAAAAAATATTCACATTTTTAATTTGTGTTTCACAAAGCTAGACTCGCTTGGTGTTCTGGCATAGTGCAGAATAATGTTCATAGTTACAGCTCTTCTGGGAACTCTGAACTCAGCTAGATGCAGGAGGAAGTCAGAGCATACTTCTGTTTCCTCACTAGTTTGTTCAGAATAACATAGTTGTTTTTATGTCTGTCCTGGCTACTACTTACTTCTGAGAACATTAGTTTTCACAGCTTTGCCTTACTTGGCATCATTTTCTGTGGCAGTTATTAAATTATCTATCTAAAGTTTGTTTACTAGAAATCAAAACATTACTTTGCTTCATTCCAAACAATGAGCAAATGTACACTATATGTTTAAAAAACTTCATTTTAATGCAGTTATTCTGTTCGTGCATTTTTAAATAGCTCCAATGTGGTAGATGACAAATGTAGTGTTTTCTTCCAGAACTGCATGTTTCTGCATACTGGGAATCTCCGTTTCTGGGAGAGGTCCCACAGCCTCTGGCACGCAGCACTTGGAGTGCTCGGCACGACAGGCCTGAGCTCGGGAAACGCTGCCTGTAGCTGTTCGGTTTTAGCTGATTCCTGAAGCCCCAAGAAGCCCTATTCTGGTATCATGCTCCCTATTTTCTTATTTGCTGTTATTTGCTGTAACTACAGTGACTCAATTTCAGTAATTAGGACACTCTTCATGGAGTCAGGCTATTTGAAGCTTCTGCATAAGAAATGGTGTTGCAGATCACAACTTTTGTAGTCTGGATTTCAAGAAAAAAAAAGAAAAACCTGCTCTCCCTTTGAAGTGTTAAACTTTCATACATGTAACTGTAGTCATTTCTGTAAATGGTTTATATCTGGCTAAAAGGAAAAATGCAACTTAATCTTCCAAACCTATTTTATGATTGCCTGCATTATAAAAATTATGGTATATTTGTGCTGATTATAGTAAACCTTCCTTTGGAATCGTAGGGTTCAGCTTTTGAAATGTAATACGTTACTGATGGTTACAGGTACGCAACAAATACTTAAAGCAAGCAGAGCACTGGAGTCTGAGTATCCCTTCCCCACTGCCTTCAAGGTCTCAAATCTACAAGTTTGTTGAGCAGAACTGGAGAACGAGTAATTCTTGATAGATGGTATAGTTGCAAATAAATTACCGTTTTATTATGGTAGTAACTGTAGCCCTGATGGCGTGCAAAGGGCCTTTCGTTTACTTACTACTGCCCAGTTACCCAGTAAGTTGGAGGAGTTTACAATCCAATTGGAAGTAAATTGAAGCAAGTGCCCGTTGTAAATAGCCCAAGTCCATGGCCAGCTGGCTTGCTCGGAGACCTTGGGCGTGAGGGGTGATTTAAGACATCCACAAGGCTTAGGAGTTGGCTCGTGACCAGCACAACTATGTGGCGTGTTTTGTTTTAAAATAATGCTAATCGTTCAGAACCTAATTTGTTACTAGTTACGTACAAAACAAAAATTAAATGAATTTATTGCAAGCTCCTAGCTTAAACTGAATATATTATGTAGTGTCACCCCCAGGCGATTTCGTCGGGGTACGATGGCATGTAAAATCAGAAGCGGAGTGCTGTTATCACACACTTGCGATAGTCTTACAGAGAGCCAAATATTTTTGTTGGCAGGTAACGCAGCAGAAAGAATATCATGTGTTAGGGTAGCAAGAGCTTAACAGATGTTTCAGGGAACTAAATTTTCAAATCCTGTCCCATTAAGGCCTGGCCAGGGCTCGCAGAAGTTCTGAGACTATTGGGTTACGTTTCCTGCTGCAGTGCAAAGCCAGCCATTGTGCTGAGCTTTTAGCAGATGTGTTACCCCTCTTAGTGAGGGGTTGGGAATAAAACTTGGGTCCTACCACTGGGGCATAAATCACCACTAGAAAAGCTCAGCCTGCCACCCTCTCAAACCCCAAGTAGCTGTAGGAAGACCATTCTGCCTTTCATTTTCCAGAGTCTGAGGCGAGTACTTCAACTGCTTTTTGATCCCCTCCCTTAAGATAGTAGGTTTTGAGAATTACAAGCTGTACTTGTAATGTCTGAATGTCTTAATTCTAGCTAAAACAAGAACTCTTGTGATTCTGTGCTAACCATAGGAGATGCTCAGAAACGCAGGTGTAGCAAGGAGCAGATCCACATCTTTGGGAGTGACTTGCTTCTGCCTAATGATTACTTCTGCCTGTCCGCGGTAGGAGCCTGGAGGAGGCATCAAATCTCAGCATCTCCAAATATTAGCATTTGCTGTAGGGTATATTGTTTCCTTTGGAAAGGATATAGATTGCATATGCAGTTCTCTTGTTATATGGAGTAATGTCTGGAGTGTCAGTGTTAGAGCTATGCTGAGCAGTAGCTCTCTTCCATCACATGCATTTCATGGGCTCTATCTCTAGTAAGACACGGGGATGGTTATTTTGTTGAATGCTGATACTGTACCCCTTCTTGCAGAACAGTCATCATATCAAATTGACTGAATCAGATAAGGGGAAAGAAGACATATGGGGATAGTGAAGAAATGGCCAAAAAGTTGTTGTTGTTGATTTTGGAAAGATTGTGACAAAATTCTTTTACGGGTTCAGAATTTTTATATCCTCTTTAGTAATGAAATGTAATATAAGCTGGCATATTACCGAACATACGTTTAACTGATGTATATTTGAAGTCCCTGTTAAAATAAGCATGGCATGAAATATGAAAGCCCATTAAAGCAGTCCCTCTTCACAGGAGCCTCCCGGCGAAGGGCCGAGGCCGTGGCCATGCAGAGAGCTCCGTGGCCGGGGGCTGTGGCGTCCTGCACGTCCCCAGAGCTCATTGCAGAGCAGCCCCCAGGTTGGGAGACGGGCATTAAGAAATCCCTTCCTCCTTCCCCAGATCCTTGCAGAATTTCAGTGTGTCCTGCCAATTCTGTAGCTGCAAGGTAGGGAAATGCTTGGGCCTTAATGTTTTATATTATAGGTAATGACATTAGAATTTGAAGTTAAAGCATATTTCCCTATTTTTCAAGATTAGAAAGCCTTTTTTTGAGCATTGAAATGAAATAACGAGTGCTTAACAGAAGATTTTAAAAGTAAATCCTTTTTATTTTGGTACTCTAGTATGATTAAGCTGTAATTTCTTTTTTGCTTGAAAATGCCAGACATTTTGTTCCTTTGCGTAATTATTTTTCTTCTCTGTAGTTTTTTACCATGTTCTTTTGCAGCCTGCCAAAGACTTAGTCTTCTTTTTATTCAGCTTCATGTGAAGATCTAAACCGCAGCTCAGCTGCTGAGGTCTCTCTGATCCATTATGCAATGTTGGGCTGCTCAGAATGTAGTTAAGAAACCTTAAGAAAGGAAGTTTTAGTGTTAAGGTGTTTGGGTACTGGGCAAGATATTGCAGTCTGACAAAAGCAGCTGAGCGCAGGATTAGTTAGGCTTTTGCTTGTTCTCCACTCATATTACTATACTGACTAAGAATAAATTAGCCTTCCTCTTGTAGTAGCATTCTTGACAATTTTTTTGGTATGAAAAACAACATTTACTTCATTTGCTGCAAGAATGACTATCTACTGCAGTAACTGAAAATCAGCAAGGTCTCAATTTGTGAGTAATGTCAAGTAAAATATCCATGTCTCTTGAAAGAGACTCTAATAAAGAGTTTTTAATCCACATAGGTAGTACAATTCAGTACTTTCAAAATGCTTTAAATTTGGAGAGTTTCCTGATGTATTTTGCATGTTTCTGTAGATTTATTCTTTTTTTTTTCTTCCAAATATTATAGAAAGAAATAGGAGTAGAATGAAGATTAAAAAGTTTGTAAAAGGAAAGGTTCTTTTGGGACTTTGTGGTTTCACAGTGCTCTCTGAAACTGTATTTTCATATTTTTATACCATTTGACAAGGAAGAAAATAGCTAATAATAGCACTAGATAATATTCTGGATTTATATGTACAACCTCTTGGCCTTCTCGTCCCCTGCCTGGTTAGAATTACATTGTGCTCTCCCCTGAAAGCGCATGTATGCTGCTTTGCCACAGGATAGCATGTGAAAACTCTCATGAACTATTTCAGGACTTGAGGAATGTCAAAACATGTTTTTTTCTTTTTCTCTACGCTTATATTAATCTAGTATTTTCTGAAAAGAATCACTCAGAAAACAGGAAAAGCAGTTTTTGTTAAAAATGATTGGAAAAGTACTTGTACGTGCTCAGTTCTTTTAGTATCTTTAGCTACAGTAACTTTTGCTAGGAATAATACCCTGTGTAAATTGGCAAGGGTATCTTGAAGAGGGTCTTGAAGACCTTTGTAAAGATGGAAACAGATTTCCTGTGCTTTTTGTCATGCATTTATTTGATGCTAATGCAAGCGTGTGGCTGTTACCTTTGGATAAAAGCAGCTATTAAAAGTTTTATGATATACCCAGACCCAACTCTTTTCCAGGTATTACTGACCTAACAAGCAGTCCTTACCCTTCATCTGGTATTCCTTGGCTCACCCTTTAACAGCCTTCAACTTATGCTGTTATGTGTTATATTAATAATGTTTTAGTCCAATAAACACAAAGGTTTTTTGACAGAAATATTTCTGCAACTCTGCTAAAAAGGGATTTAATCCTGGATCATTCTGTAGCCTGGCTAACCGCGGAAGCTGCCCCCAAGCCCTCCCCTTGCCCCTGCTCGCAGCATCTTCCAGTCCTGCGTGTTGGACACCACTTGTCAGGCACTGCTGTGAGCCCTCATCTGGGAGCCTGAGGAAGGGCTCTTAGTTTGTTCTAAATAACAGACCTGGATGCAGACC